TGTTTCCCGCCCCGGCGATGCTGTGCGCACAACACAGTTTCTGAAGGCATGTTTTCCCCCGATTCCATGTGTACGACACAGGCTACCATGGCTTGTTTCCGCAGAGCACGTCTGGGTGATCAGTCCAGTGGCTCAACGCTTGTTTCCCGCTTAGGAAGCCTGTGTGTACGGCACGGATTCTGAAGGCTGTGTTTCCTTCCCGAGAGCCAATGCGTCGTCAGGCCGTCGTCTTCCAAGACTCAAGTCGCCTTGCCTTCGGCTCCTTGCTCGTCACATCAATAACCATAACTCCTTCATAATACCAAAAAGAAAATCCACCGTTCCTCGCTGGCTTTCGTTCGGCCTTCAAACAGAGGCTGAAAAAAAAAAAACCACGACTCATTAACCAAGAAAAAGAGTCTTCAGAGAAGGCAAAAGGAGACAGGAACCGGGAAAGCCCTCAAGCTCCTCCTCCATCTCCTTCCTCATTACCTCCTTCTCCTCTTTCGTGCCTCTGGCCGCTTTGACTAATTTGTTGATCAACTTCATGTTATGCCTCTTCGCCCAGGCATCATCAACCGGTCTGTCAGGTCGATCCTTAACCACTGTTCACAAATGACGATCAGCAATCGTTCACAAAAAAAAAAAGGAAACCAGAAAAGGAAAGTGTTACGATCCAATCGTTGAGCCTCATGTAAGCTAGATAGATTGACCAATCAGATAGGACCCGGGGTCCCGAGTCTACGGGACCACGGGACGGACCCGATGTCCCGGGCTTTCGGGACCACGGGACGGGTTGAAGACCAGTATATAAGAAGGCCTCCCGGCCTTCGTTATACCTGGTTCTTCAGCAAGCAATAGCTATCACAACCTACCAGTACCTTTTGGCTACTACTCCGTTACTCTATTGTTCTATCCCAGCGATAATACTCCTGTGGTTGTAACGGTTCGTCACAGAAAGAACAAACAAACCAACATTCCTTTCTTATAATAACTCTTCCATATCTGTTTCTCACTGACAATCTGCCCTTGCAACCCTCATGCTTTGATGTGGTTCATGGCTCGGCGCCTCTTGAACGGGTGCCGGCAAAAGATCCCCTTGGCTCTGCCTGCTGGGCCGTTGTGCGTGGTGTTGGATTCCGTCATGCAGTTACCGTCGAGCGGACAGCGGAGGACGTAGTATCCGGTCTCGAACTCTTCGCCGGTGTCGTCGGCGGCGCGCTTCCGTTTGTTGGAGCTACTGCTACTGCTGGATGCTGAAGCGGCGGCGGTGGTGGCGGTCTTGGGATTCTTGTTATCGCTGTTGTCGCCATTGGAATTGAGTGCCAGCTCGTCATCAGAGATATTGTCGCCTTCGGTGTGGCCGTTGTCTTGGGGGCTATTTGTCGAGACAGCCGAGGTGGTGATGACAGTAGGTTTGCTGCTGCCCTCGCCGCCATTATCGTCGCCGTTGGTATCGTCATTGTCGTTGACACTGGCAGAAGCCGCCACCATCGCCGTCGTCTTTCCCTTGCCCTTGCCGGTCAAAAAATCCTTCCTGATGGCGTCTTTTTGGGTGAACATGGAGGAGTCAAGCTTGAAAACCCAGTAATTTCCTTTGAATACCAGGGCGCGCCTGATAGTTTCGCGTTCAGCAACAGCTGCAGGATGCTCACTGCCGCTTGGCTTGGTGACTTTGTGGCTATTTTTATTTGGGGCTGGGATAATCGACCGCCTTGTCCTTCCCTTTTATGTCTTTCTTGTCGGCTGCGGTTTTGAGCTTGATTTTGACGGGCCCTGTTCGCACGTGGATGGTTGTGACAAGGGCAGTGTTCT